TTAAATAATAGAATCAACACTAAACCACCATCGAATTACGCAGAAACCAATTTCATTATCACAGAAGACGTTAAAAATAGCTCATTGCATCCAGAAATTTCTTTAACCACACGCAGAATTTGGATATCATCTCTAATCTTAACCCTAAATTTAAATCATGTGATTGGACACGCCATGCGCTTTTGGTACATCTTGATATTCTCTCACTATATTAATTATTGCTGTTCATTACTAGACATTATTAGAAATTATAGAAATTATTATTGTGTCAACTTTATCTATATTTGGTCATTACTCGAAGAAACGAAAAAAAACAGCATTATATGTAAACATTGCTGCTTTGATTGGATGGTGGAAAGAGACACAACGAGTATTAGAATTGAACATACACTTAGGGCTATTATGCACATAGATTTTATTTATGTACATAAATTATTAATATGAATGTGCGCTTAGCGAACATTAATTTTTTATATAATAATTATAACGTACGTAAAATCTTAAAAATCTTAGTCAATGTTCATTTGGTGAACATGTTGTAAGTGGAAACGGAATTTATTCTAAGTGGATTCGGAATTTATATCATTTTTCAGGGTTGATTTTATCATATTTACACCCGTACCCTAACCCTAATTTAACTAGGAAATTCCGAATCCACTTAAATTCCATTCCCACTTACAACATTATACATGTGCGTATATAGAAATCTCCGGGTACTTTTCTTTGAAGTATAGAATGTATAGTACCCGGGTATTAAGCCACCAATTCTCAAAGGGTATAAATCATAGAGGGTATAGTTGTTAGACGAAACCTTTTTTGCTTGATGACGAAAGTCGAAATCTTAAATCCTTCTGACGAAAGTCGAAACCTTAAATCCTTCTGATGAAAGTCAAAACCCTAAAATCCTTCTGACGAAAGTCGAAACCCAAACTTAAAGTGATGAAACCCTAGTGCTCCCGCTAAAAAAAAAAAAAAGGAAAAAAAAAGAAGTGAAGATTACTAATAAAAATCTGTTATTAACGAAACTCTGGTGCTCCCGTTAAAAATTGATGAAAATCTGTTTCGGCAAAACTAAGATATTAATATAATAAACCCTATAAATTT